TTAATTACGTCTTTAAGACATGTAAAAATATTTTAGATGAAAGTGAAATATAGTTTCGAGGAGAATGTATTTTGATATTTTTTTCTAAATAGAGGCACTAAAAAGATATAAAAGTCACATTCACTTTTTTAAATAAAATAAAATTATTTTTTTATTTTAACATAATTCCTTTAATTATTATTCTGCATATAAAAATTATTTGGTAGAATTATTGAAAAATTAATAGTTTACAAGATATTTTATACTTTATTCTAGCATCTATATAATGGAAAAAATAACTCCTTTGTACAAAGAATTAGCTCAGGGTTAGCGTATAAGTCTGAAGTTCTAGGGATCTCAGGTTCAAATCTCGAATATCTCGATGTATTTCCAAAAATTATAAACCTGCGTATAAATTGTAATTAATAATAATAAAAAATATGCGAAACAAATTAAACTCTACAAATAATAATATGTAATAATTATAAAATAAAAAAAAATTTTTTTTGTTAAAATAATATAGTCGTCTTAAGATGTCTTATGTCCCGTTTTTTGATGTCCTTGAGATGTCTCAAAGACGTCTTAGAGACGTCTTAAAAACGTTATCTATATTCAAAAATAAGACGTTTATAAGACGTAGACAATATATCAGAAAACGGGACATTTGACGTCTTTATGACGTCTAAAAGACGTCTATCTGATAATTTTAAGACGTTCAAAAAGACGTCTTAAAAATTTTAGGGCGTCTTTTAGACGTCATAAAGACGTCAGAATGTTCTCTGGGGAGCTACAGTAACAAATATGGATGGGGTCTCCGGAACCCAGTGTGTATACGACGTCGTCAAAAAAACAGTGTACATACCTAGGGTTAAGCACGGATATTCTTTAGAATATTTTATATTCTTTAGAATATTTTAAAACAAAAATCCTAATACAAAAATGTCGAGACTATAATAGTTTTTAAATTAATAGCGATTAGAATTGGCTAATCAGACATTTCGCGCTCAGGCACAATGATATGACAAGTGATAGAGGTGCTATGAGGACCCTCATAATAATGCCGAGATTATCATACATATATCATATATGCAATAATATTTTTGTTAAGAAATTATTTTTTCTTATATATGAATGCCTATTTATACATTAAATAATCAACTAATATTGCAACATATGAAAAAATATCAATACAATTACGAGATACCTATTACGATATGTGTCAACTGTCAAAATGAATTCATAACTATCTCGTTCATTTACCTCGTATGGTGAATATTTTTGTAATGAAATGTAATGTAAGAAATGTAATGTTTCAGTCTTAACTGTATATTAATATATTCAGTTCTTTTCATGTTAAAAATTGTTTATCTATTACAAATATATTCACCACGAGGTAAATGAACATAGTTATGAATTCATTTTGACAGTTGACACATATCGTAATATCTCGTAATTGTATTGATATTTTTTCATATGTTGCGATATTAATTGATTATTTAATGTACATACTATGCGAGAGATACATGAGAAGTGCCGTAAACTCTATATTCGTCCCAAGAACATTGTTAAAGCATATATAATGTTTCCCGCCTCTTACATGATATTTGTCATCTAACAACCGTCTTACACCGATTATGAGTGAAGCAAGGGGAGAATCATGGGGGGTTTTCAGACATGATTAGCAATAGGTCTGTTTTTTTATAGCTGAACTGGCTACACTAGTTCAGAGTTGATCTTTCTTCTTCCAATGTAGAAAGAGAAAGATAAACTGTGAACTAGTGCAGCAGTTCAGTTATAAAAAACAGGCCTAGTAACTAACTGAACATCTCTGCAAATTTTCAAATTTTCGCGAATTATTTCGAGGTTTCAATAAAATTTTGCTTTATTAACTGGGCTAGAAGAGGAGGAACTGGCGCGAGAACGGCCGGGAGATCGTCGAGATCGTCTGAACTTAACGTCTGAACAAGATCATACGTTATTGGCGACGGAAGCCGAAGGAGGTCCGAAAAATCGCGGAAAGGGCTGAAAATACGATCACGACCGAAATATCGCAAAAATAACACTTGATATGATCGGGAACATCGAGTCGCTGCGAGAGCCATAGTATGGCTAAAACCAATGGCCACGTTTACACCGCACGCTTAGTCCGTGACCTATGGCTATACCTTATATTTCATCTAAACACGATAGATCATGTAAACAATTGTGAAGCGACCCAATCTGGCTTGGATTGGGTCTCTTTTTCACGATCCCTGACCCATTTTGTGTCGCATAACATAGCGCGTGTAAACGCAAGTAGACTAAAACGGCTATGTATAACTCAGTGGACGCCAGATGATGCTCACATGCGAATGTATTAGGACTAAATTAGATCCAATTTGGTCCAAAAGTGTCATAGGTCTACATGGTGTAAACGTTCAATTGAAGGCCTACTTCAGGTTAGAGTATAGGTGAGGGTATAGGTCGGGTCGCACAGTGTAAACGTGGCCAATAAAACATAAACGCAACGCATTAATACTAGACCAGTGAGATATACACATACTGGAGTGAGCCTTCCCTAAGAAAACGCGTGGTGGGGGTAGCCGCTATGCGAGAGTGACAGCCATGCAGGTTGGGGACGTCTGCCTCACTT